TTTCTATGGAGATTGGAAATTTTTAAAACCTTGATTCATAATTTTGGTTGAGCCCCTTGACCTTAGTTGAGGATCTTAACCTTGAATCAAGGAAAAATCAAGGACTGGATCTAGGCCTATCTCTATTTTACAATTTTCTTAAAAAAATTATTTTTTGCAGGTAGAATTCAATCGAGTAAATGGAAATTTGGCATTGTCAAGAGCTTTGGGGGATTTTGCTTTCAAAGCAAACAAAAATTTATCTGCTAGAGAACAAATTGTGACAGGTTTATAATTAAATATAAAAGCTTATTTTTGGTTTTTTTAAAGCTTGTCCTGAAGTAGAAACTTGTACAATAACTGTAGAGCATGAATTTATTATTTTGGCATGTGATGGAATTTGGGATGTTATGACTAGTCAAGAAGTAATTGATTTTTGTAGAACACGTCTTGCCTCTGGATCTTCGCCTGACCTCGTTTGTTTTATTTTTTTATTAGAGGGAAGTTTTTACAATCTGTAAAATATAATTATTACATTCCGGAAAAGTTTTTACAATTTGTAAAATATAATTATTAAATTCCGGAAAAGTTTTACAATTTGTAAAATATAATTATTAAATTCCGGAAAAGTTTTACAATTTGTAAAATATAATTATTAAATTCCGGAAAAGTTTTACAATTTGTAAAATATAATTATTAAATTCCGGAAAAGTTTTACAATTTGTAAAATATAATTATTAAATTCCGGAAAAGTTTTACAATTTGTAAAATATAATTATTAAATTCCGGAAAAGTTTTACAATTTGTAAAATATAATCATTAAATTTCGGAAAAGTTTTACAATTTGTAAAATATAATTATTAAATTCCGGAAAAGTTTTTACAATCTGTAAAATATAATTATTAAATTCCGGAAAAGTTTTACAATTTGTAAAATATAATTATTAAATTCCGGAAAAGTTTTACAATTTGTAAAATATAATTATTAAATTCCGGAAAAGTTTTACAATTTGTAAGATATAATTATTAAATTCCGGAAAAGTTTTACAATTTGTAAAATATAATTATTAAATTCCGGAAAAGTTTTACAATTTGTAAAATATAATTATTAAATTCCGGAAAAGTTTTACAATTTGTAAAATATAATTATTAAATTCCGGAAAAGTTTTACAATTTGTAAGATATAATTATTAAATTCCGGAAAAGTTTTGCAATTTGTAAAATATAATTATTAAATTCCGGAAAAGTTTTACAATTTGTAAAATATAATTATTAAATTCCGGAAAAGTTTTACAATTTGTAAAATATAATTATTAAATTTCGGAAAAGTTTTACAATTTGTAAAATATAATTATTAAATTCCGGAAAAGTTTTACAATTTGTAAAATATAATTATTAAATTCCGGAAAAGTTTTACAATTTGTAAAATATAATTATTAAATTCCGGAAAAGTTTTACAATTTGTAAAATATAATTATTAAATTTCGGAAAAGTTTTACAATTTGTAAAATATAATTATTAAATTCCGGAAAAGTTTTTACAATTTGTAAAATATAATTATTAAATTCCGGAAAAGTTTTTACAATTTGTAAAATATAATTATTAAATTCCGGAAAAGTTTTTACAATTTGTAAAATATAATTATTAAATTCCGGAAAAGTTTTTACAATTTGTAAAATATATTACTAAATTCCAGAAAAGTTTTTACAATTTGTAAAATATAATTATTAAATTCCGGAAAAGTTTCTACAATTTGTAAAATATTTTATTAAATTCCGGAAAAGTTTTTGCAATTTGTAAAATATTTTATTAAATTCCGGAAAAGTATTTACGGTTTGTAAAATAGGAAATGGGTCATAAAAATGGGGGCATATAACACAAGAGTACCCTTTTTTTTATATTTGTTTACGACTTTTTTTAAAAAGATTTGTGAACAACTTATCGACAATTGTTTGTCTCAGGATTGTGATTTGAATGGCCTTGGATGTGATAATATGACTGTAATACTTGTCTGCTTATTACAAGTATTTTAATAAACCTTTTAATAAAATCTATATTTTAGGGTCGGTCACAAGAAGATTATTTAAAACAACTTCAGAAAAATGTCACAACAAGAGCAGGTTTGTTAAATTTAAAATTTATTTTTAAATTAAAATTATTTTAGGTGCTACACACGAAGAAATATTCTCTACTCCGAGCCATTCTCCGCCTACAGCAGTAGTTCAGGAAGCTGATATTGATTCTGGGTTAATTGTTCCAGTTGAAAGTGTTCCAATTGAGAGTAATTATTTAGACTATAAAAATGCTTATGTCAAAAATTTTGGGAGTAGTAAATTGTAAAAAATTCAAAAATTTATATTTTTATTTATTAAAGCTGAAACAATTCCTATGGAGCAATCCGTCGAAGAGGAAACGAACGAAATCTCTGAAAAGGTTAAATAACATAATAAAAAATTATATATCTGTCTTGTTTATAGGATCAACTTGCTGAAAATGATGGTACTGATGGGACAGAAGGAACTGATTAAAAGTATTTTTTTATAAATCCCATTTTTCAATTTTTATATTTAACATTTTTATCTTTCTAGGTTTTCTAATAGTAATCGATGTAGAGATGCTATACAAATTTTTAAAAAATCTTTAATAATTTAACAAGATATTAATAATTAAAAATTTCCAAAATTCTGAAAATCTTGTAGCATCTCTTTTCGATTTCTTTGAATTGTACAAACAATAAAGCTGTCTAATCATTTAACAATGGCCAAACAATCTCTAAAAAATTGGAAAATTAAGAGTTTTAAGATTTAAGTTAAACCTTCCCAATTTTCCTCCCAACATTTAAAGTCCTTTCCTACATTGCTTTTTAATTCATTAAGTACCTGTAAAGTACAACTAAATCGTTTCTTAAATTTAAAAAGGTACCTCATTTTTAGGAAACTTTTCTGAAATTCTTATTATTGCTAGTTCCAATTCTTCAGCCTTATCAAAGAGTATTCCATTTACTCCATCCTTTACCAATTCGGGGATAGCAGGAAAGCGTTTAGCCAAAACTGGCAGTTTTGATCCGAACATATCCACAACCTAATTAAGTTTACAACCTAGTCAATTTTCAACAAAAAATACTTTCATGGGTAAGTCAAATCCTGATGTTGAAGCATGTAAGCAAACGCCAATATCAGCACAAGATAAAATCTAAATTTATTTTTATAAATTTAACCTTTAAACAACCTTGGGATAATCCTCAGCCTCTAACCAGTCAGTCAAAATAAAAACGTTGTGCCATCGAATGGTGCTAATCTTCTCCAAATAAAGTTGTTTCTGTGGCCCCTTACCACTTATAATTACAAGAAGTTTGGGCAATAAGTGACCCTTATCACTTTGGGAATATTCATCGTAACCAATCAAGGCTGTAAGTAAAATTGAAAAATCTTCGTCGGGTGTCCAACTTTGAATAATTTAGGGTATTTTGGATCTTTAAAAGATTTTTACCTTGTGCTAGAGACCATAATTAATGGACGATCCTCACGTAGTGTTATCGCTCCCTCGGGTGATTCAGTAAAGAATAAATCTAAAAATTTAATTCTAAAATTTCGGACTAGAAAAATTTCTCCAACTTTGAAGTTTTGATTCTTTTTCGGCCAAAAACTTGTTTAAAAATTCGCATTTTTCTGATGCTATTGATCTATAAAATTGAGAAAATTAGGAAACAAAAATTTTAAAAATAACCTGAAAAACCAACTTGGAGGTCTGTCATACAAAACAGTTGAATTTATATTCCATCGTTTAAGCAAATCATTTTTCATTGTATTAGAAACACATAAATTTAAGTCGGATAATCTCCCACAAAAACCTTCAAATCCAGCAATTAATTGGGATATACTTAAATTAAAAATAATGTTTTCTAGTGATCTATGAGAAATATCTAGAGATCGGAAATTTTAAAGAAGCTCGACTTTGATTCTTGGATTTTAGTTGAGGACCCTGACCAAATTTTTGACCTTAAATCAAGAATAGGGCCTTAAGTCAAGACATTGAGTCAAGAAATACATCAAGGTCTGGATCCATATCTAGGCCGATCTCTAGAAATATAAAAAAACCTGGATTTACCAAACATTGAAAAAGTATAATTATGCCAATCAATTAGAAAAAACATTCCTTTAAGTTTGGCAACCTTAAGAAAAATTTTTATGAGAAATAAAATTAGATAAAACATACAATATAGCAAACAAAAATTGTTGGAATTCCAGGAGGGTTTTGGAGGAGGAGTAGATTGTTTTTATCCTTCCCATCATTTTTACAAATTCTTATTAAAGCAATTCCAAGAATAAAAAATATCCAAATGAATTTTAAAGGTAATAACAGGAAACGTAGAATTTGATTATTGTTTGATAAAAATGAAGGAGGTTGTGAAATTGGGGAAATTCTAAAATTAAAGGGATTAAAAAAAGAATAAAAATTAACCTGATATTTTCATGATTAATAATCTTTGGATGAGGTTTTGAATTTAAATAGCCAACAATATTTACTTTTAATCCATGCGAGGCAAGTGAAAAGGCATGATTACACGTACGTGGACTATGACCTATATCACCTATCACAACAATTGTAGCATTGCGCATATTATAAGTGATTAATCGTTGGTTGTTGTTGATCAGCTGTTGATTTGTTGGAATTGTTGATAAGAAGTGGGCGTTTTGAACTATTTTTGCCGCGTTGGCAATCTGAAACATTTCATTTGTCTGTGGGACGATTTGGAAAAATTTGTTCTATTTGGCGAAACGAGTTTAGGTGAAGTGAAAATTTGATAAGCATTTTAGTCAAATTGGAAATAACGATTTGATTTTTGTTGATTTGTAAAATTTGCAAAATTTTTGCAGCTGCAATTTGTTAATTTTTTAATCAAAATTTTTTGATTGTAAATCTCATTGACTTATGTTTCTATTAGTAATCATCAATATGTATTTATGTATCTTTAAATTCATGCACTTTTATATCATTCTAATTTTGATTTTAAGATAGCAAATGGATGACCCAGAAATTTCTCCTAAATTGGACCCTGGAGATTATGAAGATAGATATCCGAAGAGAAATCGTAAAAGCAAGGTTTGATTAAACTAATTAATACTAACAATTATTCGATAATTTTAAGATTGAAGATTTAAGTTCACTAGAAGATGCAGAACTACAAAATTACATAGCCGAGAAACCCACTAAATTGCCTTATGATATTGATGAGATACTTACTTCACCTGACTTTGAATATGATGATGTTGTTAAAAGTATTCCTGTTGAAGGTTGTTGCTTTATATTTTTTAGAAAAAATAGTTTTTGTGTTTTTAAAGACTTCACGATGGATTACATTAAATCGACTGGCCTTACTACACCACTTTTCTTTTATGTTCCACCGCAAAAGCTGGGAATGAAGTAATGAACTTAAAGTAATTAGACTTCTAACCTTTAATCTTTAGTATGCCTGATCCAAACAATTTCACGGTGGATGATGTTTTAGGTATTTTTTATGTCTTTGGCTTCTTTATCCCATTTTCTAGAAAATGTTGGCAAAGACAGAAAAATAGAAGTTGTAGAAGTCTGCACGCAAAATGGGCGTTTAATGAACTTGAGTGATTTTATCGACTATTACAAGTTTTTTTTTATATTTTCTATTCTTTTAAAGACTTCAATTTAAGGACGCCTGTTCAGGAGCGTAAAGAATTATTTAATGTGCTTTCACTTGAATTTAGTTCAACACCTTTGGCAGATCTAGTATAGTTTTAAATATTTTCTAAGTTTTTATTTAAACTTTTTAAGGTAAGTGCTCCTGCTTTTGTACCAAAAATAGACTGGATTGACAATGTATGGCCAAAGGAATTATTTAAACGTCAGGAGAATCTTTTGAGTAAAAGTTCATGGGCACGCGAACAGGATTTTTCAACTTATCCAAAAGTCCAAAGGTTTATTTTCTTTTTGTATTCTTTTCATTCTTTGCTTCAGATATTGCTTAATGAGTGTTGCTAATTGTTTTACTGATTACCACGTTGATTTTGGTGGCACCTCTGTTTGGTATCATATTTTAAAAGGAGAAAAGGTTTTTGTTTCCTCTTTCTAAATAATTTGCTTTGATAATTTTTTAGGTCTTCTGGCTGATTGAACCAACTGAAGAAAATTTAAAATTGTATGAGGAATGGATACTTGGTGGCAGTAACAATTCCTGTTTTTTCGGCAAAATTGTAAATAAATGTACACGACTATTTCTTAAGCAAGGAGCTACGCTGATAATTCCTTCTGGTTTGTTAATTTTTTTTAGTTTTTTCGAAATGGATTTTTTATAGGTTGGATTCATTGCGTTTATACACCATGTGATTCACTTGTATTTGGTGGAAATTTTCTTCATTCATTTTCCATGCCAATGCAAATACGGGTTTCTCGTTCTGAAGATAGGATAAAGGTTAATAATTTTTCTAAAAATAAGAATTCAACATGCATTTTTATAGATTGGAAGCAAATACAGATTTCCTCACTTCAAACAAATTTTTTGGTGTTATTTAGCCAAGGTGGTAAAATTAGCGACTGGGCGAGTTTATCAAAAAATGCCGACTGTAGAAGCTTTTGTTGATAAGGAAATTGATTTTGAGGTTAAATATTTATTTTAAATGGGGATCTGACTTTAATTTAGATTGGGCTAATGCGTATGGGATTCCCTTTTTAATAGTATTATTAATTTTAAGGTAGAGAATGCAGAAATTGAACAACTTCAAAAGAATTCAGAAATTAGTGCTGACAATATTTTTTATGATAACATTGGAAATTCAGAAGATGTAAGCTTGTTTAACATTAAAACGTTTTTAATACATATCAAATTTTAGGGAACATATACATTCAACCCTATTCAACTTAAATTTGGTGATCAAGACCCTGATCTATTTATACCTTCGGAACATTATGATATGGGTTTGACATTTTAAGATTATATTTTTATGAAAAAACTTTCTTTTAAAGAATACTTGCATTCACTTTCACCTTTTGAAATAAATGGTCTTCATTCACTTGTCAGATTTATGAAGCGCTTATTAAATTCAAAACAACCTGAAGTGATTGAAGGAATAACTCGACCAGCTCATTTAATTATGGAACTCAAAGTTTTTTTAAATTTTCATTTTAATTAGTGTTTTTAATTTTCTAGGCTCTTTTAAACAAAATCAATTCATTGGACCAATTGAATTTGCGCAAGGACATTGAGCTATTTCAGAAGAAGTCTAAAATATGTGGATTTGCAGAGTGTACAATTGACAATAAAAATCTATTTCACGAACAAATGGTATGATAATTTTATTGTTTAAAATTTATTTCTTTTAAATTTGAGGCTTTGGATGTACAAGTACCTCGTAAATCAAAAGGTTTTTTTATTTTTAAATTAATCTCAATATTATAAAATTAATTATAGCAGCTCGCCGAAACATTTTGAAGTTGACAAAGAAAAAGCAAGAATCAAATCAACCTATTTTAGTGGATGGATTACCTCTTCCTACATTAGCGGCAGCCGAAGAATCCTCCGGAAATGGATATAATCCTATTGCTCAAGTGGTTAAACTTGGACATAAACCAATTGCTAGTGCTTGGCGACGTTCATCCAATGTATCAAATTTATATTTTGTTCTTCTAAAATTTATTTTTTTAGATGGTCAAAGCTTTGCCATCAACCTCAGTTTCAATTTTGAAAAGAAAATCATCTGATTTTGAGCAACCATCTACTACTGAAAGTGGTGAAACTTCTACTGCTGATTCAAATTTGCAAATCAAGACAGATCTCAATGAACAACCAATGTCTTCAGCTATGGCTCAATCCTCAATGGAATTTAAAAATGCTTCAGATGTAAAACCTGTTGTTCCTAAAAGTTTATTTTTTGCTCTCTATTTAAAAAAATATTTTCCTAAAAAAATTTAGAAAACAAAGCTAAATTCAAAATTACTCGAAAAATTATTGAGATGCATGATGATTCACCTGAATTTGTACATCGTTCACCTCTTCAACGTTTTACTTCTGTTTGTCAACCAAATAACAAAAATTCTACGAACACTTTTGAGCAACCAGCAAGAGTCAATAATGCTAATTGGAATTCTAATAATGTCAAGCCTCCTACTGAACAAACTCAAAACCAACAACAAGTTTTTCAAAACCAACAAAGTTTCGCTCCGCGTAGAACTTTTAACAACCGTCAAAGATTTGAATCTGGATCACGATGGAATGATTCATATAATAATGATGGACATGATCAATATAATAACTTTGGTGTTCATTCTTCCTTTCAAAATTCTCCATTTTATCATCAAGGAGGACGAGGTCAACAAAATAGATTTAGTAGGCCTTCAGGTTTTTTTATAATTTTGGTAAAAAAAAATTATTTTTATTTTTAAGAACATCGAAGACAAACATTTGAGCAACCAGCAAGAGCCAACTGGAACTCTAGTAATAATAGGAAATATGGTGACAATTGGAACTCTAGTGATAATTGGAGAGCTGGTGAGTGGGTAGCTGGTGAGAGTTGGAATTCTAACGATAATTGGAAATCTGGTGACAATTTTACCTCAATGGATCAATCATCTGCTGTTGAAAGAGTTGCGGAAAGAGCTACTACACCAGAGAAGAATGATTATTTTGAGAAACGGAATGATATACAAATCGAGCCAAAGCATCAGCAACAACCAGAAGAGTCACAGCCAATAGATACAGCAGTTAATGAACTTCATCAAATTACTCAAATGTATTTTTGATTTTGTTAAAATTTTTGAATAAATTCTCTTTTTTTAAGAATGAATTTTCCATGCGGTGCATATCCCTATTCATCTGTGGATTGTGTTAATATTGCGCATATACCGCTTCCGCCTTCACCAAAAGCTGAGTTTTTCCATACTCCATTTACTGACAATAATAGTGTTTCAACTTCAACAAATGTTTCATCAGATCCATTTACAGAGGTTGATCAACTTGCACAACTAGGGCAAATGATGCATGAATATTGAATAGAGGTTAAGAATTATTATGAGGTTCTACTGCGATACTATAACAAATTTTTAGTATTTTTTTCAAAGAATTAAAAAAATAGCAAAAAAGATTCTTTTTCTTTAAAGTTTTTACCAAATTTTATGATCAAATCTCACCCCTACTATTTTCAAATATTATTATATTTTTTCTATCAAGTTTATAATATTTTATTTATCAATGATCATTTTGTAATAAAAATTATTATTATTTCTATTTTATAATTTAATATTGTTGTATCGAAACAATTTGAATTATCTTTTATTTATTAAAAATTATTAAAGCTCTAGGATTAACAATATTCTTAATAACAAAGTTTAAGCTCTTATTTTAGATTTGGACTTTGTTGAGAATTATGGTTTCGTCTTCGTCCGATGAGATTTCTCGTTCAAATTTGGACCATCTCTTTGAACCATTGCGGTTGTTCTGCTTATGCGGATGTTCTGCGATTATTGTTATGTCTCCTTCCTCGTCATCAAGTGCATAGTTTCCTCTGAATTTTTCTCTGAATGCTTTGGTATTTATTTTTGTTATTTTACCTGAAAATTGTGGGTCCATCTGAACTTGTTGAAAAATATGCTGAAGAGATGAGTGATCCTCGAGATGAATCATTGTCATCAAAGGATGTGAATCTTTCCTCCACTGTATAATAAGATGAACTACAGAGAGAGCAAAACAAATTCTGACTAGAACTTTGCGAGGATGTCGACGTATGTGGACATGATGGACTTCCATTGAAGCTCTTCAAATTTTAGTTTTGAAATAAGATTAAAATCGTCGATGACCTGTCGAAGAATTGGCCCCTCTGAACAAGTATCGAAACCAGAATCAGGCCGTAAGCAAGTGCTCTCTAATGAAAGGCAATGGCTCGCCATCGGTGTGCGAATTGGAATAGTTATAGGTTCAGGTTCATTACGTCCGGTTGAAGCCCTGTATGAACATTCTTCTGAACTTTCACTTTCTGTTGTTCTTGCTGTGCCTAAGGAGTTCTAAAATTTGAGTTTTGAGACAGTCCAGTTTTTTTTCTAACCAATCTTCCTTTGCGTCTCCAGAATTTCTGCATTTCGGAAAAACCTCCAATGAAATCAGTCCGTGGTTTGAGGAGCCATTCATGTGAAGACATTTGCTGTAACCTTAAGCGACGTTTTGGGTCCGTTTGAAGGCAATTCTCGATCAGAGAACGACATTCTGAGAGTTTATTTGACTTTGTTCTGATTGAGCACGTACCTTTAGAGATGTAGCCAGGAATACGGATTTTTCCAGCACAAATATGCATCACATTTTGGAACGGTGGATGACCGATTAGCATTGTATAAAGGAGAATACCTTTAGAATTGATATATTCCTAATTATTTTTCCTTTACCCAAAGACCAAACAGTTCCTTCTAATGGCAGAAATCGTTGTATTTCAAAAACCTCAGGTGGGCAGTATGATTTTGTGCCATGAAATTGTTTGGAAATGACTCGATCCTTGAATTCAGCTGCTCCAAAATCGCATAGCCACGTCTTTCCTGTGTCCATATCCAAGATAATATTTTCATCATAAAAAGGTTTTCGATTGGGTCTAACACTAAATGATTTGCGCTTACTTTAACATCTCGATGGATAATAGAATGCCGATTGTATAAATCAACAATGGTCCTCACAATCTGTGAAAAGATTTCGTTTGCCACTTTCTCGTTCAATCGTCCAGCTATTTTGATCAAGTCGAAGAGATCCTTTTAATTTTAACGATAAATTAATTATTCGTAGATTTTAAACGTGCCATAAAGTTTTTGGGCCTTTCCATAATAATTATAAATCCGTTCTTGCTAAAAATATATTTTGTAAGTATCTACGGATTTTTATCACCTGCTGAACCAATCAACGAGACGAATGACACCCTTCAGAAAAATTTTTTCCTTTAGCATCATTTATTATTTTATGGTAGTTTACCTCACAATCTTGGCATATTTTTAGGAGTATAATTTCCTTCGGAAGAATTATTCCATGGTTCAACGTCCAGTTTGTTACTTGTCGATATCGAACAAATTTTACCGCTACAGGCAGGCAATCAACAATTCGGTAGCCCGGAAATTATATTAATTTAAGACTTTCAATACTTGATTTTATTAAATCATCTTACTTGATAAACAATTCCGAAACCACCACCGCCTATCTTGTCCAAAATTCTGAACAAAAGATTTTTTATTTTAAAGAAATCCTTCCTACTTGTATTGCTTCCGGAATTCTTGTAGACGATTTTCTGACAATTTTTGTTTGATCATTACTTAATTATCTACTTACTTTTCGGGCGGAAACAGCAACCAATTTGATGAAAGAGGCATATAATAAAGTTGGAAATACGACTAAACAGACCTAATGCCATACATCAAACTATACTAACTTTATTTTTGGTTGATGAACAAAATTATTAAAATAGTAGATTTATTTTTAGTGATCCAGGAGATCTTTACATTCTTTTGATCGATTTCCTTCTTTTCTATTGCGTTTGAAATAAGACCTTGCTAAAAACACCCACTTTCTTTTTTACTCTCTTGTTTTTTTGTGATTTTCTTGTTTTATTTAAGCCTCATACTTTTAGTTTTTCAAAGGCCACGATTTTTTGCGCATTGAATGATTAGGGAGAATGAAAATGAAAGGAGGGGAGTTGGTGTTTGTGATTAAATGATTCGGTTTCATCTTTCAAAAGTCTAGAGATTAAGAGGATTTGAATGTAGGCGTATTTTTTGAGAGATTAGCCTCTCCCAAAATTTTTGGTTACGGTCGTTTTTAAAATATAGATTCGGACTCGAATGGATTAAATAAGGAAATTAGAGTCGCATAAATAAGAAAAAACGGCAAAAGAGCGAATAAAACATGAGAGAGTGCGAGACAACGAGAGGAAATTTTTATCGGTGCATTTGATCCCTTAAAACTGCACTCAACTGGTACTTCATAATTTATGTTCGAAAATCAAAAATGCCAGTCAATTATTTGCTCAAAGTTTTAACTGAAATTTTTTTACGTCCTTTAGAGCCAGACGCTCAATAAAAAATTCATTTAAACTTAATTTGTTTGTCTAATATATTTTAGTTGTTAATCCTTAAATTGTTCGTGTTCTTTTAGTGCATTATTTGTTAAAAAATAATTTTTTCTTTTTTAATTTTAGATTTTAAATATTTTTACTTAATTTATTTTTTTCTTCATCAAAAATGCTTCCAACTCAACAACCAGGCGTCAGTGTATCAAGCGCTCCTGCATTATCACCTAATAAATCAATTAAACAACGACAACGCCAGAGGACTCTTAATGAACAATTGGACCTTTTAGACAGACAATTTTGTGTGGAAGTTGATGTTCAGATGGCAAATAGAATGGATTCTATTTCTGTTAGCACGCCGTCTTCGAAAGACTTTGTAAGGTTTTTAAATTAATTTTTTCGGTACTGCTCCGTTATTCCTACGGACTTTTTTGCGGGTATTTTCTTCCTTGATAAACTATTCTCTCCTCAATTCCAGTTGCAGGAGATGGTGAATCACGATTTAGACCCATTTGAACATGCCACAGGGAAGTAAAATCGAATTGAGGAAGGATTAAAATGTCCGCAAAACATAATAGTGATAACGGCTTAGCAATTTTTTCATGTTTTTTAGTATAAGCAAAAAGGTGTTAACAAGATGTTTTCTAAATCGCTTGATGGTGTTTTTCAGCCTGATGACCTTTCACAATGTAAGCTTTAATGATTTGAATTTCTTGATAATTTTGAATTTTAAGCGCCATACAGCCCACCGACTAAGACTTCTCGTATTCAAAATTTCTTTCGTTATTATTCGCCTAATCCAGTTACTCAACATCAGGCTTTACACAAGGGCCATTATGGAGGTTTAATTTTTAAAGAATTTTATACAAATTTTTTTTATTTTTTAAGGTAAACACTCTCCTTTTGATTTTTCCACTTCAGCACGTCCATCAATGACAAATGTTATGCATGCCCAGCAGTCTAAATCAATAAGTGATTTTGGACCTAGTTCTTTTGGATCAAGAATTGTGTTGATTCCTCCAACAACTGAAAATGCTGCTGGATGTAAGACTGCTCTTTTGATTAAAAACGAGGTATTCTTTAAATAAATTTGGGAGGGTGTCAGTCCTAAAAATCGAAAATATATTTTTAAAAAATGTATGATTGCGTGTTTCCAGAGAGGTGTTTGGGCCAGAAAAATTATTTTGCGTGTAAAAAGTTCCCTCCGCTAAGTAAACTTTTTTTTGTATAATATTATTGTAAACAAATATAGCTACAAAATAAGGCAAAAAAAATTTTTTTTATTAAATCTACGCTATCCCTCATCCATTTTTTCTTCCCATGTGCGTGCGAATGCGGTCCTCATTTCCTCTGTCGATCAATAACATTTGGCCTAGGTTGGCCGTTGGCCTTAAAAAATATATTCTTCGGCTGTTGTTTCAATTCGTTAGTTTTCGTTTCGGTAAGAAGCTGGAAATTTTGTCCTTAGGTTAATCTTTAGTTGGGTAAGAGCTTGTCATCTTTTCCTTTAGTTTCCGCATTATTTCATAATATTAAAGATCGAAAAAAATTGAATTTCAGTTATCACTTGATACATTGAGTAAAATTGCTTATATTAGCATGTCAGCAATTTTTTCTTCGACCAGCTGTTTTGTTTTAAGAAAAGTTTCCAAGATGACATGTTTTTTCCTCTACTTACCGATTTTTAAATATAATAGCGCCCATTCTCGTACTCGTATTTTCACATTCTTTTACTTTATATCTCTGCACTCCCGACAACTCCCGGCCCCCTTCCTCCCTTCCTTTCTCGCCAGTTGAGAATCGTCACTGCTCACGCGTTGTTGTTGTTGTCCTTGGCATTTCACTCCTCTATATTTCATCTATTCATTCCGCTCTCGCTGCTTTATTCTTTCCCCCCTCTCGGCAATCTACAAAAAGAAAGCAGCAATATTAACCCGTCGGCGTTGCCCTCACCTTTCATCTTTTTTTTTCCTCTTATATTCTCTTTTTTATTTCTTTTATGCTCCGCACATGTGACCTCTGGACCTGACGGGGGGTTTAGTTTTGGAAAAACTCCCACAATTCGGCCCATTTTTTTAAATTTCGTTTCCTCCTCATATCTCTGCTTTTTTTGAACATTAGATGATAATTTATCAGAAAGACAACCGCTTCAAAATATCTTATTTCTTGTTGATCATTCTTTAAACGACAAATTGAACAGTGTGTTTTATTTGTTACTACTTTTTTTATTCTTTCAACTTCGCAAGGGAGAGATTTACACACAAACAATCACCAGTACGTTTAATCAACAGAAATCAAAAAAGAAAATAAGTCGCCTGTGGTGGTTGGGTGCTTTGCTACATGTTTGGTAACAACTCGGGAAAAGGCAAAGGTTCGATCCGAAAAGCTATTTACAAACAACTAGCTCGGCCAAATACTAGTGCAAACGAAAATACATCCATTTCAACAACAGATCGAAGCTGTCAACAGGAGCCTAAGCCGCGCCCTCCTTCTTTTACATTTAGCAGTCCATCAGGGGCAAACGTTGCCGCTGCAAATAATTTGTCAATGGTTGGAACTCTCGCAGTTTCTTCACCGGCAGCAATTGCTAGTGATGGTAATATTTGATTTTAACGTGTCGAGGCTTCTTTTTTCACTTGTTGATCCACTCCTTTTTTCAGAAAATGCTTCCGGCATGAATATTCCTTTCAGTGACAGAGCAATCCCTCCATCTTCATCAGCACCTGAAGCAACAGTAGAACGGCAGAATTTGTTTCTTCATCCAAAACAGTTAAATAATGGACACCAAATAACTAGGGTTCCATGTCATCAGCAACATTATAGAAGCATAAGTGATTCACCAAAATATGTAAATACTGCAGGAAAAGCTTCTCTTTTGGCAACAAATTCACCAGTTCCGCTTCTGATCCCATTGGGAAATAGTCAGTTTTTTCTCATTATCTTTCCCTTTTTATTTTTCCATTATCCACGAGGTGGATGATGATGTTTTTTTTCTTTCCACGCGTGCGTTTCTCTAACTCTTCTATTAATCTCACCAGAAATGGAACGAACTGCGGGAGCGCCACTCAGTGCACGCCCAACTCTCCAACACAGATCCAGTCTCAATAATTCGTTTTATTCAATGCGACCTAAATCAGCAACGGGTCCCAACATTTTTCTGGCCACACGCCTTGATCATCCAACAGTTTTCGATTTTGAGGACTGGCACACTTCGCTTGATAAACGTGAGAATTTATTTTTTAGGATTCCTATTCAAATATGGGTGACAGCATGCCCGAAATCAATAAAATTTTATTTGGTTAGAAATTCCTTTTTTAATCCTTCTATTTTTGTAAAAATATTTTTTTAATTCAGAAAGTCAGGAGGCAGTTTATTCACTCTTTATGAAAGCCCATAAATGCTATGACATTGGTTTGATTTTTATTTTTTTAAATATTTTACTTTATTTTTTTAGTGCCTACAAGTTCAAAACTGGTTGTTTTTGACACACAATTGCCAGTCAGCAAGGCTTTTTTTGCACTTGTTTACAATGGGTTTTTTGTATTTTTATTTTTAATTAACATTTAATTATAAAAGGGTCCGCGCAGCTCCTCTTTGGGACAGCAGTACTCAGGAATTTGTTGGCATGCTTACTATTACTGACTTTATTCAAATTTTGCATAGGTTTGCATTAATGTTGACTTGTCTCTAAATAATTTATTTTTGAGATATTATAAAAACGATCAAATGGAAGACGGGGTAAAGCTGGAGGAGCACAAAATTTCAACTTGGCGGGATATCTTCAAATCTGACTGTAGTCTTAGGCCATTTATCACAGTTGATCCTACTGAAAGGTTTTATAATTCCCTTTTTTCTATTATTCTCCATTTTAGTCTTTATCGAGCTGTTCAACTCCTTTGTGAACACAAAATCCACCGGCTTCCCGTAATGGAGCACTCAACAGGCAACATTTTGTACATTTTGACGCATAAGCGACTTATTAAATTTCTTCATTTATATGTAAGTTGTTAAAGGTTTAAAGATTTTCAAAAAAATTTTTAAGATAAGTGACTTGCCTAAGCCTGCCTTTATGGATAAAACACCTAAAGAACTTGGCATTGGATCGTGGGAAAATATTCTTACAATAGACAAATCTACTCCACTTATAGAAGCAATGAAGACTTTCCTTTCAAAGAGGGTTTCTGCTCTTCCTTTAATCGATTCGGATGGAAAAGTATTCATAATTTTTCTATTAACCCTTTAAAATTATTTTTTTCAGGTTGTTGACATTTACGCCAAGTTTGACGTCATAAACCTAGCGGCCGACAAGACTTATGACAAATTAGACGTTACTGTTTATGAGGCGCTTAAACAACGTTCTGAGGTTTTTTTATTGAAAATTTTTTATTAAATATTTTTTTTATTTTTTAGTGGTTTGAGGGTGTTCGAAGGTGCTCTGATAAAGATTCATTAAATCGAGTGATTGGTATGAACTTTTAATTTTATCTATTAAATAATATTTTTAAAGATATTCTGGTGAAAGCAGAAGTACATCGATTAGTGGCTGTTGACGATGAAAACAGAGCTGTTGGCATAATCTCACTTTCGGATGTTCTTCGGCATTTGATTCTCGAGTTACCAGGCAGTAAAGACATTGAACGGCAGATTGCAAATGCAATGGGTGCTCGAGAACCGTCAGACACTGGAATTGTAGATTTGGAGTCAAGCATAGAAGACGTTCATGTAGCGCAACGGGTTTAATGACATTTGGAGCATGTAGTCATTCTCTTAAACATGTTAAAACAGCCAGCACGTAACCGGAAAAAAGTTCGGAAAAATTCAAGGTTTACTAATTTGTTTAATTCTTTCCCTCTCTTTGGATACTTGGGTAGTTTGGATACGTGATGGTTTATTTTTTTCAAATGACTACAGATTTTAACTTTACCCACAGCTTGCCATATCCTGCAACCTGTGAATGACCTCGCCAAAAAATATTTTAGGGCTATTTTTTATTTTGAATATTTTTTCATTCCTTTATATATTTAAATAGCCTGTTTCTTTTAAGTAGCGGGATTTATTAATTGTTAGAAGTTATTTTGTTTTGCTTTTGTCTAAAGTTTATAAGTTAGTTCATGTTTTGCTGCTGAACATAAAATTTTGCATATCCCTTTAATTAGTTTTTTCAATTTAAAATTTATATTTGCTCAAAACGTGGGTACTACTGAAGAAAAGGGTGCTTTTTCTGCGGACTTATTTTGCGGACTTTTCCTTTCTTTTAAATGTTTCTTTTTTAATGTTTTGTTTGTCTTGCTTGTAGCAAGTTTTGCTTGTAGCAACTAACGGTCAAAGGATTGATTTTTATGTCAATTTGAAAAATATGTGTTCACCATTAATTTGAACATTATAAACGTTAAAATTGACTTTAACTATATTTTCAATTACCGGATGATGAATTTCAACAATGGATCACTGATCTCGGAATGCTTCATAGAAAAAGAATATGTGATTGTGGACAGAAATGCGGGTAATTTCAAACCTTGTCCCCTCCCCATTATTTTTATTACCTAAGATTGTACAAAATGGTCAGATTTCCTCCTTCCTCTCTTTCCTCTATTTAAGCTTGGCATATTCAAACAAGAGACATTGTTGATAAAGAGAAGATTAATTGAGTTGTTCAATATTGAGTTCATTTTATTTTTTCAGTTGTTCAATATTTTTAAATATAAGTAAGAATGTAATGTTTTTACACAGAAATTCATAATGTTATACACCAAATCAATTTTATTTAATTCTTTTTTGGTTTAAATTGTTTTCGAAGGCAAAAAATAAGTGTATGACTATGTATAAAATTAATCTTCTCTTTATCAATGTCACTTGTTTGAATATGCCACAGAGCAAATAGAGGAAGGAGAGGAAGAAGAAAATCTGACCTTTATGTACAATCTTAGGTAAGAAAAATAATAGGGGGGAGGACCTTTGACAGTTAGTTGCTACAAGTAAAACATTTAAAAGAAAGGAAAAGTCCGCAAAAAAAGTCCGCAGAAAAAGCACCCTTTTCTTCAGTAGTGCCAAAACGTGAAAATAATACACAATCTATTTAAAATTTTCATAAAATAACTGGTCATTTTTTAATTAGAAAATCTTCAATACGAATCTAGAAAAAAACCTGTGTAAAAGTACATAGATATGCAAGAATATCAATATTTCTAACGTTAAAAATGGTCTAAATCACCACTCTGCCTCGCCATTACTTTTATGAAAACAATAGTCTTTGCCTTTTATTTGCATGACCTAAAAATTTATTAAAATTGAGGTTGTTTCTAAGATACTTACTCCATCTTTTAGAATAAATTTCCATTTATTTCTTGCTCGGTGGACCTTTAAATTAATTTTAAAAGGTTGTTTTAGTTTAAGAAAACCTTTTCAAATTGGCAAACAACAACATTGTCAGCATCAAAGAGTGTATCCAAATCCTCGTCATCGCTTTGGTCATCATCTGAATTTAAAGGTACCTCTTCTTCCGCTGGACTTTCTTGCTGTGCCGTTTCATCTTCCAAACCAGCATATCTTTTCAATGGATCGTCTTCCTGTTCTTCTTCTGAGGAACTAAATAAATTTATTAAAACTAACCCAAAATTAGTAAATAAAAACCTGTCAGTCATGCCTGGACCTCCACCATCAAGTTGGGGTAAATGTTGATTTGAATTTTCCTTCTTTGTTGCAATTTCTTGTACAGGTCTTCGAAAACTTGGGTTTCCTGCATTCTGTTGTAAAATTAATTGAGCTTGGCTATCCAGACTAAGTTGCATTTGTGGATTAAGCAGAACAAAATTAGGGCCATTAGGTCCTTCAATAATCGCACATTGTGAGCCTGGTGGCAATATGCCTGGCGGAAATTGCACTGCTGCATTGAGCATTTGTGTAGGCAAATTTAATAACTGCACAGGGTTCTAAAATTCTTCTTTAAAAAATAACACTTGAGAAATAACCTGAAGAGGAGCAGGTAGTTGGGGTAGACTTTGCTGTTGTTGTTGCGCCGAAACTGCCAAAGTTTTTTGTTGTTGGGAAGCTGTTGTTGATGTACCCTGCACTTGCTCAGACGAACTTGGACGCTGAGAAGTCCCAGGCGTCTGATCAGAAGTGGATGGACGTTGTGTAGAAGTCTGAGGTCAGAAAATAATTTTTAAAATATTAAAAAATTAAAACGTTTTGCGTAGTATGATGCCTGGACTGCTTTGTTGGAGGCGGCTGTGCTGGAGGTGGTGGAGGACGGGCATCCAAATCGACTGCTCCACTCGCTTGTATTTTGGTTTCCCAAGCCTTAAATTTGTCTCAATTAAAATAAAAAATGAAAAGAACTTTTTTTAATTGTTGTAAGACTTCAATATCAATGCCTTCGTCCAAAAATGCTTCTCTAACCTGACTAACAACATCACTGATTACACCACGGTAAATTTCCTCCTAGATACAAAAATTAAAAATAAATCTGGAAAAACTACTCACAACTCCAAATCCTTGCTGCGTCGCCATTAAGTCACTAAAAATGAGAAATATATATAGTGAATTACAATTCCACTGTATGATTGTTTCTTTGTTTCTCTTATCACGTTCTCTATTTTTTTTTCCGTGTCCGGACAAAATATCGAATCGTTAAAATATGGAATAGGCTAAAAAAGGGTTAAAATCTCGAATCGGGTAAAAAGGGGTTAAAATCGCGAATAGGCTAAAAAGGGGTTAAAATGTGGAATCGTTAAAATATGGAATGGTTAAAATATCGAATAGGCTAAAAAAGGGTTAAAATATGGAATCGTTAAAATATGGAATGGTAAAAATGTCGACACGGCCAAAATCGATCAAAATGTCGAATTTTTTAAAAATGGCGCCAAAACTAGAATCCGGGCGTTACCGTAATACCGATGGTATTTTTCGGTATTCCGTGTCGGTTGTACGGTACGGAATCCGACCGATAAAATTTAAAAGCTGATCGGTATTTTTCGGTATTTCGTACCGTATACGGTAAGGTCAAACTTTAGGTCTTAACTAAAAACTAATGCACACCACTCTAATTTTTCCATATCAGGATCGCGTTATGTTTTCCGGATCCGTACGATCATGCCGGACCGGATCCGGTCGATTATGCTTGATTTATCCGGTCCGGTTTTACTCGGTAAAATACAATGAACTCTGGCAGAAAAGATTGCGCCGGACTACGACATAAGAGACTTATCAATCAACTTATCATTAATAAGTTGATAAGTTGATAAAATCATCTACAATCAACGTATGGCACTCATCTGACCCTTTTTTAAAAGAATTCGACATTTTGACAGATTTTGGCCGTGTCGACATTTTTACCATTCCATATTTTAACGATTCCATATTTTAACCCTTTTTTACCCGATTCGATATTTTAACGTTTCCATATTTTAACGATTCGGTATTTTAACCCCTTTTTAGCCTATTCGCGATTTTAACCATTCCATATTTTAACGATTCCATATTTTGTACCGGAGCCTTTTTTTCTCTCCATAGCGTGTCGGTTGCTATAGTCGAGAAATCTATACAGTAACTATTGCGCTCTCAATATTCAGCACTCAACCGCCTTTACAAAATACCTGTTAGTAAAAAGACCGGGGCAATAAAAGACCGAAAACAATAATTGGGCTATAAGACCATTAATTAAAAAACAGGAGCATTAAAAGATCGGAAACAATAAACGTGTTAAAAGACCGAATAATTAAAAGACCGGCGCAATAAAAGACAGAAACGGCCGAAGAAGTTAAAAGACCGATTAATTAAAAAACCGGCGCAATAAAAGACCGGAACGGCCGAAAGAGTCAAAAGACCGATTAATTAAAAGACCGGCACTATAAAAGACCGGAACGGCCGAAAGAGTCAAAAGACCGATTAATTAAAAGACCGGCGTAATAAAAGACCGGAACGGCCGAAAGAGTCAAAAGACCGATTAATTAAAAAACCGGCGCAATAAAAGACCGGAACGGCCGAAAGAGTCAAAAGACCGATTAATTAAAAGACCGGCGTAATAAAAGACCGGAACGGCCGAAAGAGTCAAAAGACCGATTAATTAAAAAACCGGCGCAATAAAAGACCGGAACGGCCGAAAGAAGTTAAAAGACCGATTAATTAAAAGACAGCCGCAATAAAAAACCGTTAAGGTTTAATTAAATTTTTAAATTCCAAAAGATCAACACCATACTATCAAATTTTAAATTCTAAAAGATCAATAACGTGAGCAAATTATACTTTATACAAACTATTAAATGTATGCTCTTATTCTAGAATTTTATTCAAAATGAATATGTATTCAAGTTATCTGCACTAAAAATCGAGTACATCGTTCATTTATTTTGATCCTCTCAAATTAAATCAAGAGACAGAAGTGATCCCTCTATGATCTGGCGGTTCCAAATCTGACAATGCCATATCAACCCACTGAAAAATTTAATTAAAATCTTAGAGGAATTCTTGAAATTACCGCCATTGGTTGATGTAATTGTAATTCAAGCCAACAAGGAGTCGATGTAACATCCTTTATTGTGGGAGATTTAAAAAGATAAATTAAAAAATTTCCCAACCTGCCTGTGATAATCTGCTCCCCAACCCTTTACAAACGAAAGTCTTACAAAGCACATTTTTTGTAATTCATAAACGTGTTGATATCCATCACTTTTTGCCTTTTCTAGCATCTGATATTTAAAATTAAACACCGTACTTGTTCTAATATAAGCCTGGGCTTATATTTTTCAAATTCCTTTGACTGGGCTTAGATTGGATTAGAAATGAGCTTCCATTAGAGCCGGGCTTATATTAGGACATTTACATTATTTATCAAAAAGAAAACTTACACCCCCAAAGATCAAATAATCGAATATCAACTATAAAATTTAGAAAAAAATTTCTAAGCATTATCTCTTCAATACCATTGATGCCCCGCCAGGAGGCACGCGACAAACTGCTGTCGCCTGCAACCCGTACTTGAAATTTGCATTCCTCGATTGTACAAATACGGCCGAATCGGATTGATTGAACTTCAAATTTTTTTATTAGATTAACCTTTTAAAAACCAACCAGTAATACTCCATTATCGGTACAACTAAGCCGAATTCCTGAAAATTTTAGAAGTAGATTTAATCATAACTATTTTTAACTAACCCATTCCAATATGACGACGTGTATTCTCAATCGTAAAATTTCTGTTGACATTTGAAAGGAGACCAAGACAAATGCCTGGAAAATATTCAGGTAAGTTTAGTGGCCCACCCCTAGAAATCAACACCCTAGAGGTCAACTCCCTAATGTCCAACTAAAAATTCGGACGGATAGAGGACATAGGATCTGGACGGATAGAGAGATGAGATCAAGAGTACGCTGGCCTCCCTTTTTCGACGGTTGCACAAAAGAATTTCAGTCTTCTATTCCCTAATCCCCTTTATCTGCCCAAATATTGGACCACACAACGTTCAGGGTCCGTTGGCCAATGGGGAGTTGACCTCTAGGGTGAGCCCAGTTTACTGATAATGAAAAAGGCTAACGTGATTCACTTGAAGGATCAGTAAATCCATCTATTACTACCGTATTAACGGAGACCTGTAAAATTTATGTATTTCTATAAGAAAATTTCCATTTTCTGACCTTGAACGGCTCCCCTACTCTTGTATTTAGTTCATAGTAACAAATGGAACACCAATAAACAGGTTGTGGACGAGCATAAGTATTTTTAGCGATTATGGAATGCGAGGATATTGTAGGTACTAATTGGGACAAATAATCATCGTCATCGCTGAGTGCAGAAGGTGAGAGATGGAAATGACCAATTTGCTGCAAATGCCCTCCCTGTTGGTGATTTTGTAAGGTGGAATTAGGCTGTCCAGTAGAGAATGAAGATGAAAAGGATGAAGAATACGAAGAAGAGGAAGAGCAGGAGGAGGATGAAGCACAGCCACATACAGCACTTTTTGATCCAAGCAAAGAAGAAAGCGAATTTGGGGGAGGAAGTTGAGGAGTGCTGGAGAGCAAGGACATTTTGTTGCTCAGTTCTATTTTTCCTGTATTTGGTTGATCCACTCGATGATAATGATAGGGATTAATACATATCTAAAATTTTATTCATGATAGTAACCCGTAATCTCCTATTATTATGCCAACCTGTTCACTTCGTGCATCATATGGAAAGAGACAATCTTCACTTGTTTTGAGCTCCTTAAAATTGCTTGTCCAAATATTAATTAGAAAATTTATAACTTGATGTGATTGCAAATTAGGCCATCTCCAAACACGGCAATATATCACGTGTGGCAATCCTTTCCTGTGAGAGACTTGTAAGCGTCCGTCTAGTGAGCGAGGGATTGTCACACATCTGTGTAGTAATTAAATATTTTAGGACTAGCAAAAAACCTGCTACGAGAACCAGGATTTGCTAGGGCGTACTCCTTTAAATATAATTATTTAGATATAATAAATGCTTATTCCTCACCAAATCTTCAACAGTGCCATAGCAATGATTCTTCCGCTTCCGCATCTTCTTTACCAAAGAGTCTACAGCTTTCAATGCCCATCTATCTTCTTCATCTCCCAATTTCCAGCCTAATAGCTTTTTAACAGCGGGATCGGGTGATGAGAATATGTTCATTTGGAACAGAATCAAGGATTAAATTGTCAGAATAAAATTAAGATAAAATAAAACGCGAAAAAACAGTATTTAATGGCAACCAATTCTGAAACGGCTATACTGAAACGGGCTTTACCATTCGCTATCAGATGTGCCATTAGAGTGCCAACATTATAGTGCCAGCCAGCTTTGATACGCTATAACTTTTTTATGTATGGCCCAATCTGAATGATTCTTATATCATTCGAAAGCCCTCGATAAGAGGTATCTTTTACAAATTGGATGGATAAAGTTTGATCATCCATTAAAAAGTTACACCCCGATAAGTCCAATTATTTGACTTTTTCACATTTATCGGGTTATAACTTACTTAAGATTGGTTAGACCTGATCCATCCAGTTGAAGAAAAGATACTGCTTATCAAGAGCTCTCGAATGATATAAGATTCATTCGGATTTGATCAAGCACAAAAAAGTTATGGACGATCAAATCTGGTTGGCAATTAACTGTCGGCACTCAACTCGCCCGTTGCGAAATATTCGATAGAGGAGGTTTCATAGCCAATTCAGAATTACGATTTTAGAGAAACTGTAGTTTTCACTACAAAAAACTAATTCTTAGTTATCGGTTTTAAATACTAGAAATCTAGATTAAAAGTGAGTTTTAGAAAGATTAAATAAAAGTAGTTGAACATTCTTTGATAAAATGGTGCCTATTTTTAATAATGGAAATTACAATTATATTTGGAGAAGGAAGAAAATAATTACGAAATAAAATAGTCAAATTACTGATAACAGGAAAACAAAAGTCAAGAGTATTTGTTGTATATTGATCAAAAAATATTGGGCAAAATGACGTTAGGAACGAAAATGTCCAGGGTTTCTTCTATCCAACAACCATATTTATATGGCTACCAGCCGATAGTACAAAGAAGAAGCGATGCGCAATAAATCAGAAAAGGGGCAGGACAGATGGAAAAATGGCAGAATTGTTTGTGTAGATGTTTTTGTATTCAAATAAAGAACATTTTACGGCATTCCCCGTTTGCAGTGTAAAGGAGGCCGCGTCCCAAAAAACACAGCAATTGAATGGGAACCATCAAAAAAATCACTGCATTTGCATCGAAAAAGCAATAAAAATAGGAAATAGGGTAGGCGAATTTATTTTTAAACTAAAAAAGTCGTATAATTAAATAAAGGATATTTCTTTCTAATTAATAAAATTCATCTTTGTTGAACAATGAAAAATAAAAATAAATTAAAGAATATTTTATGGAACCAGGATCTGCGCAGAAAATAAAATCCACACACACATTTTGAACTTTTTAAAAATAAATTTTATCTCACATTAAATCACCTTGAGGCGATATTCATTAACAAGAGAATAAGTCTCATGGAGGTCCATAGCATGGGCACTACTGCCAACAAAAACCAGTTTCCGATTTCGGGAATCGGGACGGCAGGATCCCTGGTCCATACAGAGGTCCTTCGCCTTTCGCCGAATTTTCGCCTTTTTTAGTGTTTCGCCTTTCGCTTTTTACATCCGTTTCTTCACACTCCTGGTCAATAGGTATATTTTTTAATTGCTATGACACAATGCGAGTTTATTACGCAGTTTCAGTCGAGAGAAGAAAAAAGGCGGTAAACTCTTTGAAGATTAAAAAGCTTGTCTACTTTTTTTCTTTCCAATACCGAGGTCAAATCATTTTAATTTATTCTTTTCTTAATTAACTGATAAAGCTGTGTTGGAAAGAGAAAACAAGAAAAAAACCGGGTGAAAAATTGGGAGAAAGGGCAGTTAAGGGGGAAGAGACGGCACTATGGCGGGCACAAAGAAAGAGGTGGTGATATATAAAAATTGCTATAAACATGAGAATATGATAAAGTGATAAAAAATTTTGTACATAGAACTATTGCTGATTTCAACGCTCAATTTCGACAGTACTGATTGAAGAGAATAATTTCGGCCTTCTTCTTTCAGTAGGAACTGAACGAACTTGAAGAAAAAATTATTAAAAATTTTTTAACAATTAGAATAACCTGAATTAGTTCCTCCAACATTGTTGTTCAATTCACTCTTTTCTCCTCCCATTCTAAGTGGCATTTTGGGAGGTACATTATTAACAACGTTGTTTGGTGGAGTAGGTGAGCAACGTCTACTACCGGGATTGACAGTTGTTGTTGTAGAAGAAGGCCCAGCTAATTTGTATGGACGTCGATTGACAATGGAAACAGTACCTCCACCATTAACAGGGGTTTTGGAACAGGCTAGCTGAAAAATGAGAATTAAAAAAATTTTTTAAATTAAAAAACAAACTGATTGTGACGGCACTCTGTTCAGTTCTCCTTTGATAAACCTTTCCACCTTAAAAAGGAAAAATTGATTTAAAAGGGAAAATGTTCCCACCTTATCTATACAAGCTTCTTGATAATCATGTACCCATCTGACACCATTGAACCTGGTTATCTGCCTTATATCATCTGGCAATTCACTTTCTACAGCTGGGAATTCAAACTAAAATAAAGAAATATTAATGTTAAGTCTAAAAATTTATTCTTTTTACTTGTTGATCAAAAATCGGAATAACATTTTTGCCATGTTCAAATGCACAATGTAATTCTTTGTGGATCCAATCTTCACAATTTGTATCATTGAGCAATCTGTCTAAGGAGTGAGGAGTTAGGACCAAAATGAAATGTTTTGCTGCTTGAATATTTTTGAGAAGGTGAGAATCGAATTTGCCCGCATAGAGTTTATCAACATCAATAAAAACTTTGTAGCCTCTTAATTGGAGCAGAACTTTTATTAAACTGGCTAGTTGGTTCCCTGTTGAACGACGATAACTAAAAATTGAAAAATAAATTTTTAAAAATTTTTAAAATGATTGCCTAATAAAGACGTCGATTTGCTTCGAAAGTATAGCTACTTCAATGTCATCAATGTGCTTACTGTCTGCGCAAATTAAAATTAACAAGGTTAAACATCATTTTAAAAATAAAAATACCTTGAAGAGCTTGCCTTAATTTTAATCTATGGATTGGATTGTTAATGCCACAAACAGATTTCATCATACTAAAATATAGCAAATGTTTCTCCTAATTTATTAAATACCCTACTCGTTAGTTAGCTGGGGAAGTAAGTTTCTATTAAGGCCCATTCCCAACATTTGATAAGTGTAAACAGAAAGCTAAAAAGAATTCAATTTTAAAAGAACTTAATTCAAACCTCTGGACTGAGCGACATTAAAAACTGATCCAAATGACTTTCATCGACACTCCTAAAATTTAAAGAATAAATCCATGCTCCTAAAGATAAATCAAAATTACCAACCCATAGTCTGCTGCTATTTTTAAGCTCTCCAGTTCACGCATAAACCTTTTTCTAAGAAGACCAGAACGCATTCCCAAGTCCTCCTCCAACTCCTTTTCTGTTAAAAGTAACAACAAATCCCCGTCCACCATGTGAGCTGCAAATGCTTGGCTAAAAGTGCCAAAACCAATCTGAAAATAAAAAGAATATTTCGTAAAGGAGTCCCAACATTTTAGAAAAATTAAAAATTATTTCAAACCTTTTCCACCCAATATTGAACATCCTTAATTGACCAGCATGGAACTTGTTGTGAGAGTTTATAAGGCACTTGCTCTCCAATAACAGTAAGTGCTTCACTTGCGAATTTGGCAGGTAACTCATCTGGACTTGAGGCACATTCTTTAAGTGCCTGAATCGCACCAATTTCGGCAAGCACCTCCAATTTTTGTTGTTCTTTTTTTGTAATTGCTTCCACACAAAGATGAAAAGATGCCCTTAAATATTTTCAAAATATTTAGAATTAACCTTCTCTCAGTTGCTTACATGCTTTTCGCCTCTCTACAACGAGATCCAAGTAATGGTAATAGTCTAGCTAACCATTCCCTAGGCCGACCTTGCGAATTTTTGTAATCTTCTTGTGCAAAAATGGCTGGCTGGTGAGAGATCAAAAAGGGTTCAACAAGAGTGAGTGTGCCAGACTTGGCAACTGCCAATTCCATTTCCTTAAATTAAAAAAAAACTAACTCATTATCCTACTTAAAACTATATCTGTTAATCACCTTAGAATTGGTAGAGGCAGAACCAAGCACACATATAGCCAAACAAGCATAGTACCGAGTAATATCATCACGCTGAGATGCTAGAAGGAATAACCAATCGGGCAGTTTTTTCTGGATTAATTTCTTTTTAGCCTCTGGGCAAGAATAAAGAGTGAGGTTGGATAAAGCTATAAAAATTAAATTTTCAATTTATTATTCTATTTTCTCACCTAATGCCGCATGCCTTAATGTTCCCGGTGTATCAGTTGCTCTCTTACACGTTAACAATATATGATCAATCACACCCATACTAAAAATTAAAATATAACGTGTTTCCCTCCCTCCCTTTTACTAACTCAATTAATTTGCTGGTAGTTTCAATTGAATGTTTGAAAAGCGCCTCCATCAATGAAAGTGACATTCGTTGTTGTTCTTGGTTTTTATTCAACTTTTCAGCTGTAGTCACTACTTTTTTCAAAAATCCCTTTAGAATTAATGCATCACAATTACTCCCAGTTAGGCATTCCTTTGAAATAGTTAAATTAATAAAAATTCTTATGATTTAAAGTAACCTCCAAGACTCGTCCACAACATAGCCTGACAGAATCAGAAATTGTTGGGCGTGTAAATAGCCCTAACAACACTTCCAAATAATTTTGCTCACGTAAATAGTCACATAAAGAATGAGCCAAATCTTGTGAAATTTTTGGGAAAACCCAAGCTTTGGTCATAACTCTGAATTGAAAGGAATCATAATTTAAAATGATAAGAGCCCAACTTTGTAGCTATAGTACAGCCCTCAAAAACTTGCTCATCTGGTCCTTGCTCAATTAGTTGAAAAGCTTTATCAACAAATCCCTGATATTTTTGTAATTTTGTCTTGAGTGTGTGCATCTGAGAAAAAATTTTTTTGGTGATTTTTAAGTCTAGAAAAAACTAAAATTACCATCATAA